TTGTTTTTAATTTTTAGAGGAACCTCCATACTCTTTTCCACAGTGGCTGCACCAATTTGCAATCCCACCAGTAGTGCATGAGGGTTCCCTTTTCTCCACATTTTCACCAGCACTTATTGTTTGTTGATGTATTGATGATGGCCATTCTGACCGGAGTGAGGTGATACCTCATAGTAGTTTTCATTTGCATTAGTCTGATGATTAGTGATGTTGAGCATTTTTTCATATGTCTGTTGGCCTCTTTAGAGAAATACCTATTCAGGTCCTCTGTCCATTTTTTAAATTGGATTGTTTGTTTTTGGAGGGTTCATTTGTATGAGTTTTTAATAAATTTTGATATTAACCCTTTATCAGATGTATCATTGGCAAATACCTTCTCCCATTCAGTAGGATGTCTTTGTTTTGTCAATAGTTAGAATTGTGCATTTTAAATAGGGATGGATTCTTTTAGGTTGACTTTTGTGGGATTTAAAAGGTTATTGTTATGTTTTAAGTTAATGGGAAACAGTAATGATTATGGTCACTCATGCTTTTTCAAAAAAGGAAACCATAGAAACAGAAATAAAAATAGAATTAATAAACCTATTATTCTACAACTTTAAAAATTACATAATGAAGTGAAAGACTATCTTCTGCAACTGGTGCTTCTGCTTTTAGAGGCAACTACTATTAACAGTTCGTTGTCGATTCCTTTTTGTTTTTGTATTTTACCTTATTACTATATCATGGATATCTTTTCATCTTGTATAGCTTAACTTTTACAAAAATATTTAACAGCATGAGGCATAATTTACATGCCATAAAATCCATTCATTTAAAATGTATAATTCACTGATTTTAATAAACTTGCACGCTTGTGTAATAATCACCATAATCTAATTGTAGAACATTTCCGTTGCCCATAAAAGTTCCCTTGTGCCTGTTTGCCATTGGTCTCCACCCCCAGTCATAAATAACTCCTTATCTGCTCTCTGGTTGTATAGTTTCTCTGTTTTAGAAATTTTATATAAATGGACTCATACAACATGCATGTGTCTGACTTCTTCTACTTAGCATAATGTTTTTAAGGTTCATTCATGTAGTTGCAGATATCAATAGTTCATGCCTTTCTTGCTGAGCAAATATTCCACACTTTGCTTAACCATTTGGTTAAACTATGGTGGACATTTGATTTTCCAGTTTTAGGGTATTATGAATAATACTGCTATGAATATTCACATACAAGTCTTTGTGTTAACACATATTTTTTTTTTTCTGGGGTAGATATCTAGGCATGAAATTGCTGGGCTGTATGGTAAGTTATGTCTAAAATGCCAAACTTTTTTCCCCACCAGCAATGTTTGAGGGTTCCACTTTCTGTACATTTTTCTAACATTTGGTATCATCGATCTTTTTGATTATTGCTGGTCTAGTAGGTATGCAGTAGTAGTTCATTGTGATTTTAATTTGCATTTTCTTAATCACTAATAATGTTAGCATATTTTCTTGTATTTATTGGCCATTTGTATGCCTTCTTTGGTGAAGTGTAAATTCAAATGTTTTACTTATTTTCTAATTCAGTCGTTTGTCCTCTTATTATTAAGCTATACAAGTTCTATATACAAGTCTACTACCAGATGTATGATTTGCAAATATTTTCTTCCAGTCTGTAGCTTATCTTTTCATTTTATTATGGTTTCTTTTGAAGAGCAGAATTTTAAAATTTTGATGAAGTCAAATTTATCAATTTTTTAATGAGTCTTGCTTATAAAGAAATCTTTGCTTAATTCATGATCAAAAAAACTTTCTTCTATGTTTTTCCTGCAAGTTTTATAGTTTTAATTCTTAAATTTAGGGATATAGTACATTTTGAGTTAATTTTTGTATATAGTATGAAGTAAAGTTTTTTGTTGTTATTTTTTTTTTTTTGCATATGGGCATTTAGTTATTTTACCACCACTGTCAGACTATCTGTACTCCCACTGAATTGTCTTGGCACTTTTATCAAAAAACAGTTGACCATAAATGTTTGGGATTATTTCTTATATCACTATTTTATTTCATTGATCTATAAATTTAGCCTATGCCAATACCACATTGACTTAGTAATGGTAGTTTTCTAGTAAAATTTGAAATCAGGCAGCATAAGTCCTCCAACTTTGTGTTTTGTTTTCAGAAGTGTTTAGGCTCATCTATGTCCTTTACATTTCTATGTAAATGTTAGGAGCAGTTTGCCAATTTCTAAAAAAAAATCTTTTAGGATTTTAATTGGGGTATGTAGAAGCGGTAGACTAATTTGAAATTACCAATTTAACAATGCTGAATTTTCCATTTCGTATCACGTATTTCCACAATTTGAAGGTTTATTTTTTTGGTTTTTTTTTGTAGTAATATTTTGTAGTTTTCAGGGTGTGGGTCCTGACCTTCTTTTGAGACATTTATTTCTGAGTATTTGAGTATTGATTTTTTTTTTCTTTTGATGCTCTTTGATTGAAATTTTATTTTTTTTGGTCTGGATACAGAGAGCTTTATTGATGATGCATGACAAGGTGAAGTTTCCTCAGCCCCTCTCCTTCTTCAGGGAGTCTGGGATGGAAATCGTGAAGGTCAAGTGAGTCTCAGTGTGTTGGGGGAACAATTTGGGACAAGGACTCTGCAGTAGCTGGGGGCCTGTCTTCCTCTCGCTGGGGCTGATGGTTCAGGGGGCTCTTACTCCTCGGAGGCCATGTGGGCCCTAAGGTCCACCACCCTGTTGCTGGAGCCAAGTTTATTGTCCTACCAGGAAATGAGCTTGACAAGTTGTTGTTGAGGGGAATGCCAGCCCCAGCATCAAAGGTGGAAGTGTCGGTGTCACTGTTAAAGTCACAGGAAACAACCTGACATTCAGTATGACCCAGGACGCCCTTGCAGGGGGCCCTCCGACTCCTGCTTTACCGCTACATTGATGTCATCATATTTGGCAGCTTTCTCCAGGTGGCAGGTCAGGCCCACATCTGACACGTTGTGGGTAGGGACATGGAAGGCCATGCCAGTGAGCTTCCCATTCAGCTCAGGGATGACCTCGCCCGCAGCCTTGGCAGCGCCAGTAGAAGCAGGGATGGTGTTCTGGGCAGCCCTTCCACCGTCACACCACAGCTTCCAGAGGGACCATCCACGGTCTTCTGGGTGGCTGTGATGGCATGGACTGTGGTCATGAGTCCCTCCACGATGCCAAAGTTGTCATGGATGACCTTGGCTGGGAGGGGGCAGTGGGGGAGGCAAACAGTTGGTGGTGCAGGAGGCATTGCTGACAATCTCGAGGGTCTTGCCACACTTCTCGTGGTTCACACCCATCACAGACATGGGGGCATCCTCAAGGGGGCAGAGATTATGAGCCTCTTGGCTCCACCCTTCAAGCGAGCCCCTGCCTTCACCGAGGTAGTGAAGACACCGCTGGATTCCGCAACATACTCAGCACCAGAATTGTTGGAAAATGTTCCCTGCTTCACTACATCCTGAACAAGATTGTGTACGAATGGTATTGTTTTTTTCCTTAAATGTTTAATATAATTTCTCAGTGAAGCCATCTGGTCTGAGAGTTTTTTTATTTTTTGGTGGGAATGTTTTAAGTACAATTTTGATTTTCATGTGTCTTTGGTCAATTTCTGTAGCTCCCAGATGGTTGTTTTTGATGATTTTTTTTCAGTTTTATACTTTAATTTTGCTAAGAGGATTTGCTGACATTTTCTTTTTTTTTTTTTTTTTTAAGCTGAGCCATCCTGCTACCTATTGGCAGCTCAGCGGCTGCTCAGCTTAGCTCAGGCTGGACTCGAACAGCAGTTGCTCAGAGCTCAATCTCTTGAGAGAGCTCTTAACCAACTGAGCCACTCGGCCGGCCCCTGCTGACGTTTTCATACCACCACACCCAGAAGTTTCTTCTCTACCTCTTTATTTATTTTTTTCAAAGATTTTATTGGAATTGGGGAAGGAAACAGTGTTGGGGAATTGGGGAAGGGAAACATTGTGTTCTTCCAGGACCCATCAGCTTCAAAGTCAAGTTGTTGTCCTTCAATCTTAGTTGTGGAGGGTGCAAGCTCAGCTCCAAGTCCAGTCACCACTTTCAATCTAGTTGTGTGTGTGTGGTGGGGGATGGGAAAGGGGCGCAGCCCACCATCCCATGTGGGAGTCCAGCTGGCAACCTTGTTGTTAGGAGCACGTGTTGTTACCAGCTGAGCCATCCTGCCATCTGTTGGCAGCTCAGCGGCAGCTCAGCTCAGGCACAGCTCACTGGCCCATGTGGGAATCGAACTGCGACCCTGTTGCTCAGAGCTTGTGCTCTTAACCAACTGTGCACCTGCCCAGCCTTCTACGTCTTCATTTTTAATAATTGTAGAATATTCCATTTTACAGATATACCTTAATTTATTTAATAAAAACATTTTTCTAATTTTTAAATATATTCTTAAGCAGCACTGCAGTTAACCTTTGTCTACATATAACTTTATTTACGTATGCTAATAATTTGCTAAGATAGATTCCTAGAAATGGGATTGCTGGGGCAAAAGTAATGCATGCCTTATATTTTAACAAATACTATAAAATTATTCTTTGAAATTTTCACTAAATTATTACATTGTTAAAATAATGTCTGAGAAGTTCCACTTCTCCGTATCTTGCCACTGCAATATACTATTAATCTTTTACATTTTTTTCCAGTATGAAAAACACAGACTGGTATATTTTTATTTGTATTTATTGAATTATGGTGGAATTAAGAATCTTTTTATATGTTCTTTGACTATTTCTTTTTATTTTACGAAGTGACATATCGTGTCCTTTGCTTAATTTACAATTAGATTGGTTGTCTTTTTCTTATTAATTTATAGGATCTTCTGATATTTTAGTGATATTAAACTTTTATCTGTTTTGTGTGGTAAATATTTTTTTCTATTCTGTCATTCATTTCCTTTTCGTCATAACTTGTTTTCAATCTTTTAAAAGACTTGCGTTGTAATTTATGTTTTTGTTTGTTTTTAAAACAGAAAGTTGTACAAGGGATCGATTTAAACAGAATTCGAGGGCTTGGGTTTGATGCCACGTGTTCTCTGGTGGTTTTGGATAAGCAGTTTCAGCCTTTACCGGTGAACCATGAAGGTAGGCCCATTCCTCTCTTTCCCTGGTGGTGGGAGACTCGGTGGGGCAGACCTGGCTGATTAATCAAAGGGCCCAGGGGGGACATGAGTCAGCTATGTCTTACCACACTGGAGGTGCGATTTGGAGGTGGAACGTAGAGGTCAGAAATCAATTCCCTGGCGCTAAAAGCTTGGAGAGTGGGAATGGGAAGGCATCTGGGGCTTGGAGTAGGTAGAGACATGGCTCTGGAAGGCACAAGAGCCCCAGTTGAGAGAGCGTGATGAAGGTGGGACCTTGAAACAGACACGTGGTCTGGGTGTTTTCTAGGAAGGGAATGTTAGTGCCTGCTGTTGCTTTGCATAGGAAGCTCCTGTCCCTCATTCATTTGAGTGGGTGGGCCAAGTCCATTTAAAGGAAATAGAACAAGGCAGATAGGACCATGTATCACACAGAAACTGGGAACAGATGGCTTCTCTGTTTTCAGTAGCCAGGCCAAAGGATGCTCCCATTCAATGAGGTGGTTCTTATAGACACTGTGACTACTGTGGTGAGCTGCTTCAAATGTCAAGTGCCACTTGGGTTCACCATCAGAAACTTTTCACAGCGAGCGAGGATGTGTTCCTTTTGGGGAATTTTAGCTAGTAGTGCTAGCACTTAGGTTACAAAACCCAAAAGTCTGGACTGGTCAGGTACATAAGGTGTGATGACAAGCTTCAGCTGATATTTCACTTGTGAATGAGCAGAGAGCATTTGGGAGTGGTGGAGACTCTGGTGCACTGGCCATTGCATCTGAGGGGTGTCTAGGACTGGTCAGTCAGTTGTTGCCGAAAGAGGCATTGCAAACATGTTTGGGGCTAGATTATGTTTAAGAACCCTTAGGAGTGGACCCCGCTGGAAGCAGTGTCTTTCGTAACCGGTTGCTGTGGATACTAGGGCACACTGGGACACCCTGGGATGGGAGTCAGGCACATTCCAGGTCTCTGCTTCACTACTGCTGAGCTGTGTGACACCTTGAGCGAGTCGCTTAACCTCTGCATGTCGCAGTTGTCGCCTCTGAAAGAATTGGACTAATGAAACAGTAGTAGCTTTGCTGTGAAAGTTAAGTGAGAGCCTGACATCTGAATGCTCAGAAACATTTTTTTTCCATCTAATTATGGTGTTCTCAAGAGAATATGTCCTACTCACTTCTATGGACCTAATGCTTAGAATAGTGATTTTTATAAATTACATGTGCTGAAAAAATGCAAATGGATGCATGGTTAGAACACAGGGGTAATGATAACCTTCTTTTACACACACACACACACACACACACACACACACACACACACACACACACACATATTTCCTCCCTTTCTTGCTATGTTTATTAGCACCTACTATGTGCCAAGCCCTGTTATTAAATGCTGGGGCTTCAAAGATGAACATGAATGGTCCTTGTTCTCAGTGACTATTGACTGGCTCAGTTGGCATTGTTCTAATGGAGACCAGAGGATGGGGCTGAACCAGCCCAGCTCAGCTCAGCAGCAGTAGACCCGCTCCAGTTTATGAGATGTGTCCAGCCATGGAGCTGGCCATCCTGGGAGACTCTTATCATTTCCTTAATTGGCTTCCTTTAAGTAGAGGTCAGGTGAGACAGTCTGTCAGGGATGCTGTAGGAGGAATGCTCATTTTGAGTGACCTTTTAGATGGTAAAAGCCCTAAGCTCCAAGGACTCTATACCTTCTAATCTAAAAATACATTAAAAAACAACAACAACCCAAAACTCTGGCTGTGTATTAGAATCAACTGGGATCTTTTAAAATGACCAATTCATAAGTGTTACGCCCCGAATTTGTATTCATTTGGCGCAGAGCTAGGGTAGGGCATCAGCATTTAAAAAAAAAGTGTCCTTGATAATTCTTGTATGTGGAGAATGACTGCACAGATGAATGGACAGTGGAAATATCAGGAAGAAGAACATGGAAGTGGCAGATGAGAGTTCCTTGTTAAACCTGCTTAGATCCGTGCCCTCTCTGGATGCCATTTTTTTTTTTTATCTCACGGTAGGCAGAATTGCCTGCTGTTAACAGGCCTTCTATTAAAAGGGTGGCGAGGTTGCAACCCTAATTATAAGTGTTGAAATAATTTTATTCCACCTGAAAGGTTACGATGTACCTATTCATCAAATGCATCCAGCTGCAGGGGCCCCTCACCAGTTTCTGCCTTTCAACGGATTCTATTAAGGTTAGATTTTTCTCTGAAGTGGATTATCCTGAGCTAGAAAATGAAATTAGAATTTCCAAAGGTGCTTTCAAGGTTCTTTAAAGACTGCTGCTACTTGCATGGTTAACTGGAATGATCACGAGGAGCAGGAAGTGGGGTCAGGAAATTAACCATCACCATGAAAACCAAACCTACACGATGGGCAAAAATGTTACCATTTTTAGATGTTAACCAAAAAGTGAAAAAAGCCAAAAAAAACCCAAGAAAAACACTTCAACCCCAAACCTAAGTAAATTCAGCACTATCGTTTAAGAACATTAATCATTGCTATATGATAAAATAGTCTCGTTGGTAGGCCTTTCTTGTTAGATCTTTTTTCCTTTGAAGGTCAGAACAGCCCCTGGGTTGGACAGCCGTGCCACTACTGCGTGCTTCCTACCTCTGCAGCCCACCAAGCTCAGAGCATCACTCTGGTTGGGTCATCCCAACCATAGGAGCTCTTGGGAGGGGGAGGAACCAAGGATGATAATGAGGGCTGGAGAAGGAGTTGCTAGAATACCCAGGCTACTCTGCCACAGAAACCTAATCTTTAGATGTTTTTTGCTAATTCATAGCAATTTTTTCCCTTCAAGTATGCCTGGGACATCTCCTAAGAAGTAAGTGTTCAAAATATTAATTGAATGCATACATGGATAAATAATCTGCCCTTAGGTAAACGGCCTGTATAGTCCAAATTTTGCTCTACTAAATTGCATCCAATTCTCTTACAATATGACATCTCCTTGGGTCTGTACTCCACTTTTTTCACATGCTGTCTCAATGGTGTGGCACCTCCTTCCTCACTCTTTTGTCTGGCTAACCGATGGCCAGTCATTTTTAGAACTAAATTAAAGTGTCTCTGCCTCTTGGAAGCTCTCTGTGCAGTGTCGGGCTCCGTTAACTAGTACCTTCTCTGTGCTCCTCTTCTGGGTACTACTGTTCTGGCTGTCAGCACACCGTACAGAATTGGTTTTCCATTCAACCATGTGCTTCGTACGGGCAAGGACTGTGGCGCATTCTTCCTGCTATCCCAGCATTGTGCCTGGCATATAGTAGATGCTTAATAAAAGATTAAATGAATTTGCAGTGGATTCATTTATTTATGGTTTTCTACAGGAACTGAAAAAAAGATTAATTCCCCTGTTCTTGCCTAAAATTAAAATAATTAATAATGATAAATACCATAAAGTACTCGATTCTGCATACTTCCATTGTGTCATTCCGACTACATTTTGGGAACATTTCATGGAAAGGCAGTAGCAGCCGACTGGCCTGTCTTTACAGTTGGAAGTTGAGCAACAGATGTATTGGTCTTGAAGCAGCTGCGGATACAGTCAATACACTATTTAGAAAGCAATACTGATATTGTTTTCCCTATAACCCCCACACCCACATACACGTGGATGTGTGTGTGTATGTGTGCACGTGTGCGTGGGCACACATCCGCATTCTGATTCAGTGACAGTCCTGAAATGGAACGTGGACATCAGTAGTTTTAAAGCTATCCAGGGTTTCAAATGTGCAACTGGGGTTGAGAAGCAGAGCTTTAAGCGATTCTGTTATAGAGTAGAATCATTCAGCTGTTAAAAACAAATCTGAGGTGTGCCTATGAGAAGGATTTATGTACTTTCTCTTATTTTCAAAGGATTACTGTTTTCAGGGGAGCTTTTGTGGGACCTGACGCCTCTCCAGGCAGGCGACAGTGACTGAGTCCTGGCCTCCTTATGTGATAATGACCTAATTTAGATGTTTTCATAGGTTGCCTTTCTTTTAAAGTTTTAAAAATTCTTTTTGAATCATATGAAAAATAAAATAACAGCCTCCCATGTATCTATTACTATGGATAAACACATGAATTTTTGCCATATTTGCCTCGTGTCGTTTTTTATAGAAGGAACTGCCTGGAGCTTCAGCCTGTCCCTTCTCCCCCTCTCCCCACCCCTCTGCCCAGCAGGTGACCATTCTGCTATAGTTGGTGTTCACAAACGAGTTGTTTCTGTGCTTTTGCCACATATGTATATACCCACAACAACAAACAATATATATTGTGTTTAAAAATGCCCCAGCTGGTGTCATTACTCATGTTGATGTGTGTGGGTCTAGTGTATTCCTTTGATCAGTTTATTTATCTGTTCTCTGCACAGATCTGTTTTCAAAGCACTCTTCATGTTTTCCCCAGCTCTGCGATCTTAGGCTGTCTTCAACCTCAGAGTTGGTTTGTCATTGAAAGTGACCTAGATCAGAGGATTGTTTTGAGAATTAAATGAGGTGATGTGTGTAAAATATTTATCACAGGGCTTGGGACACACACACAGACACACAGAGCTTTATAAACGTTTGCTATTAGCAAAGTTGTATAATTGCTGCGATTATTTTGTCATTCAATAAAATAATGTGTGAAAGTGCCAGGCTCAATTACTGTTGGGACCCCTTTGGTTTTTCCTTCTTATTATCTCCCAGGTATATTCATTGCTTTCCTCTGCATTTTGCCATCTGAGCTAGCAGTGGGCTGTGAAGAATATTGGCTTGCCCCTCAGAACATGATGAATTATCAGAGGCTGGGGAAGGGAGAAAGGGTCAGCCAGGTGCTATGTGGGCTGCAGGATTGGAGAGGTGGGGTTTGAGGGTGCCTGTGCTCCTTTCCCAGTTGCTTTTAAATTCTGTTCCTTGCGATTTACTACTTCTGAGGGCCTGATAGGTACTTGCCATATTCTTTATGCATATTACTAATCCGTGTATGCTATATGGGATTGTTAGCCCCATTTTGTAGATGAAGACACTGAGGCTAACAAAAGTTTAATAACTTTCTCAGTATATGTCTGCTTATAACGGAAAGAGTCAGTATTCCCCACTGGGTCTGCTTGATTCCAAAACTCTCATGTACTTCCCACTCCACTAAACAAAGTATCCGAGTGAGGAACAAGAACCTAAATGAACTGGTTTTACTTAAAGTGTCTAGAAGAAGTGGGAATATAAGTAGATAAAAGCCATTGTGTAGATGTATTTTGTTAAATATATCACACTGTTGAAATATCTGCCCATATGTAAAGGAGACAGATCTTAAAAAGCAAAAGTACTGTTTTAGGCTTATTTCATAGGCTCTTTTTCCTGAATATTCACCCAGAAAAAAAAAATTTCTAGGACAGAAGGGATAGGAAAGGAAGGGAAGAGCTGAGAAAGACTGAATGATGAGATATGTAATTGGAAGATCTTGACTGGTTTTACTGTAGATGTTTAACCCTGCGGCTATATTCGAAGAACACATCTCTTGAAAGGAAACCCAGGTTTGGGTAGGGTGTTCTAATCAGCCTCGATGGGGGTCCTTTTACTTGCTCGTTGTTGATGGGTGAAATTATGGAAGTTGTGGTGCTGTTTGCCCTTGGGAATCCGTAATTGCCCTTGAAGTAGAAGGATAAAGATGCACACGTGTCTTCCTCTGCCTGTTTCTGCTAGGAGATTCCCATCGAAACATCATCATGTGGCTGGACCACCGAGCAGTCAGCCAGGTCCACAGGATCAATGAAACCAAGCACAGTGTCCTGCAGTACGTGGGTGGGGTGATGTCTGTGGAAATGCAGGCCCCGAAGCTTCTGTGGCTAAAAGAGGTAAGTGCATAGACTGAGGAGAGGATGCTAATACAGTTGACCCTTGAACAACGATCGGGCTCAGGGTGCTGACACCCCATGCAAATGTATAACTTTTGACTCCCCCAAAACTTAATAGCCTAGTATTGACTGGAGGCTTTACCGATAACATGCAAAGTAGATTAACACATATTTTGTATGTTGTCTGTATTATATACTGTACTTTTACAATACAGTAAGCTAGAGAGAAGAAAATCTTAAGAAAATTAAAAGGAAGAAAAAAATACAGTTACCGTACTATATATATTTATTGGAAAATTCCACATGTACCTGGAACCATGTAGTTCAACCTGTGTTGTTAAAGGGTCCACTGTAATAGTAGAGGATTCCACGTGCTGTGGATTTGTCTGTACCAGGCATCCTGCTAAAATCTGTTACGTTTAATTTTTCCCAGCAACTCTGTGAGGAAGGTTGATCCCATTTTATTGAATATATTGCCGTTAAATCATTCCTGTTTTAATATGCTTAACTCATGTAAGGCATTGCAATAAGTATTTGACGGATTATCTCTTTGAATCCTAACAGCAACCCTGTGAAGTAGAGTTTCAGTTATTTTCTTTTTTTGGCTGTGTTTTGTAGACAAGAAAGCTTAAAGCTAGTAGAGATTAACCAACTCACCCAAAATGACACAATGAGTATGTGACAGAGCCAGGATTTGAACCTAAGACTGGCTGACTATGCAGTTGATCCTGCTAGTATCCAGTACTCTACTGAAGTTCAGCGAGGTTAATTACCATAACAATTAGAAAATGACAGAGCTGGGATTTAAGTCCAGATCGTCTGACCAGAACCTTCTTTCTCAATACACTTTCAGCCCCAAATGATGAATCTCTGGCCTTGGTGGCACCTTAGGGTAATCCTTTCTCATCTTGCCTGAACTTGAGCTTCCATGTCCTTGAGTGATACGGTGATCTCTGGTCAAAGTGCTTGCAGGTGACTCCTGTTTCCAGATGTTAGGATCCTTTATGAAGTGTGGAGAGTGGTGATGTCAGTTTAATGGTTCCTATTAGAGATGGATGTGTGAGAAAGTTCAAGCCCTCCGGGAACCTTGGGGGCTTGAAAACCCCTAGGTGGTCTGCTGAGGAGAGAATCCATCTAATGCGTAAGACCTGGTGTGATTCATTTACTGGCTCTGAGGTTTCAGGTGGGCTGTGTTTTCAATTACTCAAAATGCATATGGGGGTGGAGGGAGTTTAAGGGTGCTGAGAAGGTGCCCCTGGATTGCCACCATGGAGCAGAAGGGAGACAAGCGAAAAGGGCATTGATAATTAGAGCAGGCATGGCTTGTTATTTGTTTTGTATATTTATGAGTTTTAATTTGTGGAAAGCCTTCTATAGTTGCTAAGAGTTTGAAAATACAGGGTTTCTTAGGAGTTGGGGGGTGTTTCAGGATCCTGATTTTGTCTCTGCTAACATCACATTGTGTGACTTCGGGCAAAACAATTCTTAACCCAGACCTTACGTTTCCCAAAGTTGGAAAACCTGACCCAAATAAATGCTGGCGTACAAATCATAATACTGAACTGCTCTTCACTGTCTCACACTCTGCTATGCATTCTATGGGCATTAATTGATTTAATCCTAATAAGCTCTGCCTGGTAGAGAGCACGGAAGACTGAGGCTTTCCCAAACAAATGGGAGAGCCAGAATTTCAACCCATGTCTATGAGGCTCCAAACCCAGCTCATCCAATCATGCCACACAGTACAAAGTCCTTCCGTAATGGATGTCACTTTGGGTAGGAACCAGGAAGGAGGGCAGTGGTGTTTTTCAAGCCAGTGTAAACATGGTGCAAGAGAACATATGGGTTGGGTATATCACCCTTCTTAGCCACAGGTAAGGAAGAGCTGTACTGCATTAAATGAGAAAGATCAGGCAGGTGGTCAATGGTGCATCATCAGGGCCTTATTGAGTACATACTTTGTGGCCAGCTCCGGGGGTATAAATCCAGGAGATCTAAATAAACATTGAGTATGAACCTCTCAGGATATTTACCATTGTGCACTTGAGATCAAAATGCACTCAATAAAGGCCATAGAAAATAAAGTTCTAGATTGCATGACACTGATTGTGACCTTCTAAGACCATCCATCCATCCATCCAGTCAATTCCATTTCAGAATATTTTGAGTAAGGCTGTAAACATTGCCTCCTTGTGTATTTAATTACCTGAAGACTGAGCCTTAAATCATTTGAAAAAATTTAAAACAATTTTTTAAAATTAATTTTTATTTTTTGATAAGCATGCATAGGAATCCTTGCTGAGAGTCCCTTTGGTTTTGCCATAATTGCAAATTGAAAATCAAAGCTATTTCTTTTTTTCCCTTTTTTCTTTTCTTTAATTAAATTTATTGGGATGACAATGGTTAGTAAAATTATATAGGTTTCAAGTGTACATTTCTATAACACATCATCTGTATATCACATTGTGTGCTCACCACACACAGTCAGTTCTCCTTCCATCTCCATGTATTTGACCACATTTACCCTCACCTACCATTCCCTTCCCCCCTTACCCTCTGGTAACCACTAAACTTGTCTGTGTCTGTGGGTTTCTGTTTCTTTGTCTTATTCCTTTGTTGCCTTCAGTTTTATATCCCACGTATGAGTGAAATCATATGGTTCTTGACTTCTGTCTGAATTATTTTGCTTGACATAATAATCTCCAGATCCATCCGTGTTGTCAAAAATGGCAATATTTCATCTTTTCTTATGGCTGTGTAGTATTCCATTATGTATGTATACCACATCTGCTTTATCCAATCATCTATCGAAGGACACTTTGGTTGTTTCCATGTCTTGGCCACCATGAATAATGCTGCAATGAACAACGGGGTACATATATCTTTACAGAAAAGTGTTTTCATATTTTTGGGGTCGATACCCAGGAGAGGGATTGCTGGGTTATGTGGTAATTCTATTCTTAATTTTTTTGAGGAACCTCCACACTGCCTTCCATAGTGGTTATACCAATTTACGTTCCCACCAGCAGTATATGAGGGTCCCTTTTTCTCCACAGCTTCTCCAACACTCGTTATTATTTGTCTTGTTGATAATAGCCATTGTAACTGGTGTGAGGTGATATCTCACTGTGGTTTTGATTTGCATTTCCCTAATAGCTAGTGAAGTTGAGCATTTTTTCATATATCTATTAGCCATTTGTATGTCTTTTTGGGAGAAGTGTCTGTTCAGGTCCTCTGTCCCTTTTTTAATTGGATTGTTTGGTTTTTTGTTGTTGAGTTGTATGGGTTCTTTATATATTTTGGATATTAGCCCCTTATTGGAGGTGTTGTTTGCAAATATCTTCTTCCATTCCGTTGGTTGCCTCTTTGTTTTGCTGATGGTTTCTTTTTCTGTGCAGAAGCTTCATATAGCTTTAGTTTGATACATTCCCATTCATTTATTTCAGCTTTTACCTCCCTTGCCTTTGAGGTCAAATTTATAAAATCCTCTCCCAACCCAAGGTCTATAAGTTTAGTACCTGTGCTTTCTTCTCTACAGCTTATTGTGTCAGGTCTTATGTTTAGGTCTTCGATCTATTTTGAGTTAATTTTGGTATATGGGACAGAAAGCAGTCTAGTTTCATTCTTTTGTTTGTGGCTTTGCAATTTTACAAGCACGATTTATTTAAGAGGCTTCCTTTTCTCCACTGTATGTTCTTTTGGCTCCTTTGTCGAAAATTATCTGCCCATATATATGTGGATTTATCCCTGGGTTCTCAATTCTATTCCATTGGTCTGTGTGTCTGTTTTTCTGCCAATGCCATGCTGTTTTGATTATTGTCACTTTGTAGTACAACTTGAATTCAGGGAGTGTGATACCTCCAGCCTTGTTCTTTTTTCTTAGGATTGCCTCGACTATTTGTGGTCCTTTGTGATTCCATACAAATCTGATGGAAAATCAAAGCTATTTCTAAAATCAGTACTAGCATCTTCTCTTTAGAGCCTGATCAGGCTGGTTTATAGTGCTTCTCAAACTTTAATGTGTAAGTGAGTAACTTGGAGATCTTATTAAACTGCAGATTCTGATTTAGTCGCCTTGGAGTAGGGACTGAAAATTTTCATTTCTATGAAGCTTCCAGGCATTGCTGATGTTGCTGTCCTGCAAAGTTAGGAAACCACGTTCAATGCTAAAGGCTCTTCCCTTGTATACTGAAAGGCATCCATTTGTGGAGAACCAGTAAACAGTACCTTCTTTTTAATTGGCTATGGGAGACCAAGACAATGGGAAGTTAGATAGCTTCTATAGAGCTGTTCAGTTGCCCATTCGGTGTCAGAACATGAGACTCTTGTGTGCTGGGTTCACTAGGCTGTCATTTGTTTCCTCTTTATTCATTCCTGAATTTGCCAAATTTTGACTGAGGTCCTGCTATGAACCAGCAATGTGATAGGCACTGAGGACATGGGCACAAAGAGGACTTGTTCTTGCCCTTGAGGGGCACCGAGTCCACTGGGACAGTGGTGGTGGGGCCATAAGGAGGGGGTGGGTGGAAGAGAGAGACATGGAAACAGCCATCAGAAGATGTGCTGAGCGTGGTGATACAGGAATATGCGAAGTGCTTTCTGAGAAAATCATTTCCTTCTGGGAGGAGTTATTTCAGATGAGCCTCAAGATATGAGTGGAGGTTTTGCCTATTAGAGAAGACAGGAAGGATATTCTAGAGAGAGTCTACAGTTCATTTATGGTAAGGTAAGTAAGCCCTAGGACATGAGCCTGGGACGCCTCCCTGAGTGTAGTAGGACATGGGGCCAGGGCTCAGTTTAAGGGCTTATTTGGTGATAGAGATTGGTTGATGGTTTTTCAGCAAGGGAGGGAATGTCTTAGATCCCTTTGGCAGGGCTGAGGAGATTGGGTTGGGGTGAGAATATGTGTGTGTGTGTGTGTGTGTGTGTGTGTGTGTGAGTAAGAACTGCTTTCTTCCCTGATTATAGCACTTGGTTGCCTTTGCTTAGCTCTTAGGATA